TACAGTTAGAATGGTTTATTACTGAATTGCTTGCCTATAGCTTATTTTATGGACATGGATGCCAGAATAGGCTGTTTATGTCACTGGCTCCGGATTTAGTAATGTACGCTACCAGATACTTTTCTTGCTCGGGCAACTGTCGCCGATCAACGCTTAAAACGGAACATGTACAGCTTATCACAACACCGTAATCGCTCGAGTAACTAAACACATGATCACAAATATGATAACAAAAATACTTAACACTCTGCTCTAAAAATCATGAGTAAAACACAATCACACTCGAGATCCCTGTGTGCCGGAGAGTGCTTGCTTTCTTAGAGTCGCCAGTGTTGTTGCAAATCACCTTGCGACACATCATACAAGCATGTTTCACCTTTTTAACAGCAGTTTCAGTTTAAAGAAAGAAGTTTTTCTAGTGAGAACTCTACACTTGTTTACTTGTATCTAAAGTCAAGTGTTCCTTTGTTTACGGCATAGTTTCTTTAATCTATGTCACAGCTCCTTTTTTTTCCAGGAGGCTTCCAAAAGAAGACTACTTTATGTGCCAGAGTGGCGGTGAATTTGAACGTTTCACATTTCAAAAAATCACATTGTGTTCAAATCGCAAAACATGTGATTTTTTCGGGGAGGCTCTAGTAGTAATGTGTACTTTTAATTAAAAAATAAAAATGTTAAGTTTATGGACACTTCATAAGAAATGATACACTACATTAGAAAGATAAGCCCACAAAGTGCAATAGTCAAGCCTCTTCAACAAGGGGCATGGGATGGTTTATGGGGCTTCGTCGCGGGTTCCTGCCCCTTGTTTTGAGCAGAGTTTTTTTAATGCCTTCTTGTCAACTCTAATTCTATATCTGTATTTGCAGACGTAACGCAAAGGGTTGAAATCTCAACATAGACTTTTCCCTGCTAGCGTTTGTCATTGACTTTGGTGTAGATACTAGATTTTTAATAAATAGTTTAGCACATATTTATATTATGCCAACATTTTGTTCTTTGCTGATGATTATCAATATAACTTGCTACAGTATTTATTCCATGCTATCAGATATTCATCTGATGTCATTTTGGATTTTCTTCACTTAGGTCGTTTTGATACAGTTTTTATTCACACTGAAATGCACTGAGAAAACAGGTTGGTTTTCAGGATCGCAAGAAAGAAATACGCCCAAGTTTCTAAGCAGCGAAATTATGATATTAGGCAGCATTCTGACGCTACTAAAGATTAATTTGAGTTTTTCAGAACTTTTTTTTATTAAATAATTTATCAAGGCTATGGAAAATATAAGGTTTGAAACACATTTACGTTTTATTTGAATTCAAACATGCACATTTTCTTTTATTTCTCACGGAGGCTATTTTCTATACACCCCACTAGTAGTTCACTATTAGTTCCTTGTGTCGGATTTTCAGTAGCAGGACACTGGTCTAGATCGCGCAAAAGTCGGCTTTTTTTCTTCTGTTTTTTGTTTTCTGCGTTTTTTGTTTATTGTTGTCATAGTGACATTGATTTTACTTAAAACTGCATTTTGACAAATTCCATTCATAGTCAATCACTGGTGAAAATTTTATAGCGATCAGACAATGGAAAATCACTTTTTAGGCGATTGAAAAATATATCTGTACGGTCTCCAAAAAACTGTATCGAAACACCTTAATTAACTGAATTTGTTTAGAAATATTACAATTCCTGATATTATTTTATTTGCATTGAAGACGTATTCCGCCGTCGTTTGTTCAAATGTCTGCCCCTAAAAATGTTACTAGATTTCATTATCAGCATCAAATTTACCTGCCTCGTCCGCAGTCGCTCGCGATGGTTCTCGGGGTATTTAAGCTGAATTATCAAAGCAAAGCGAGACAAAGGAGGAAACGGAAAGGGAAGAAAAAAAAGCAAATGCTTTACCTTCCCATCAGTTTCATGAAGAACCTTTAAAAAGCCTGCACACGAGGCAGTGAAGCTAATACCGAGGCATGCAATGTTATTCATCTTATTTTCATCCAATACTTTTTGTATAGGTTATAGTTCATTACCTCTTTGTCAAAGGGCGATTATGCAGTGAATATAAATTAAAATCGTACTATTATTACACTATGGTCACTACACTGTATATTTAAAATACTAATAAAGTCTAGCATCATTACTATTGATTTCGAGTACTATTTAAGTCACATTTATGCGCACACTATTAGTCAGAGGAAAAATGTACAATATATTGTTAAGCGCAAATAAAGGGAGACAAAAAATCGTTCTCTGTTTATGTTATTTTGCGAATTAGAAAGAAGCAATAGAAATTACTTGGGTCGCTTGGGCTGTGAGCTTTGCATATAGTATTGATTATTGAAAGTTAAAACCATCCCGGCCAGATACAGTTTTTCTTTTCTAAAGTGCTCATTCCTTCGAAAGGTTCAGGAGGACTAAGTGTCGTAGTATGAAACACATGAAACTAAGCAAAGAACCCTCGTTGTTAGTAAAAATGCATTGTGTCTCTGAAAATAAGGGACTGTGCAATAATTACCTGGAGGGGGGTGGGGATTGGAAAACTAGAGGGGGTGCATAGGAGAGAATGACAACAAGAGACAGTTGGGGTTGGATGTAAAATTTAATACATACGGGGGGGGGGGCATTACTTTTTCATTCCTTTTTGCAAACTGGAAAAGTAGTGGAAGAGTTATTAGAGTTCAAGTATAAATACTAACATTGGAATAAAACTGACAAATTTGTCAACTCTAAGGTGTTCTGATCTATGAACTTTTGTTTTCCTAACTGTCATGCAGTGGGAAAGGAACACCTCTCTAATATATGTTAAAACAGTGATACTTTATTTGCACTAGGATTTAATAAAACAGGAAACTGTAATTAAAAGTTGCAAAAGTAGCACTATAATGTTATTCAATGAAAAAGAAAGATGCCAATGTTAGCACACATGGCGTCATAATTTAGCAGAATGAAAAACCCAACTGTTGAAATTTTAATAGCAGTACAAATTTAAGGTATGGTAAATAAAACATGTAAAAGATGTCAAAGCGCTTACCAACAAGCTGCTGAAAATGTATCTAAAGCAAAAAGGTCTTAAGATAATTGGAAGCCAGGCTGAGTTGATTGATCGAGTTCTCACCGACGCACGCGGGAACCTTAGTGCCAGAGATGCTGTAGAAGATGAGGAATCTCCCAATTCATGCGAAGACGACACAAGCTCAGAGTCCAGTGATTCTGATGACTCTTCAAATGACTCTTTGACATACGTCTAAGAGTCATTTGAAGTGATTTTTGTACCGGAGGAAGAAATCCAACAAGTAAACCAGGTATGAGGGAATCAATGGGAAGAGACTTTTTTTCAAGGGGAGGGGGGGGGGGGGGGGAAGGGGGGGTTAGCCTTAATATACTCATTATCTGAGGGGGGGTTGAAATTAATTTTTGCTTAATGAGAGGACGGAGTATGACTTAGTTTTGGGGCATATTTCGCCCATTTTCCAACCCCCCTCCAGGTAATTATTGCACAGTCCCTAACTACCGCCATCCTCTTTGGCCGCGTTTTAACGTAAGTGTCATTTGCACAATTTGCATTGATGTACCTGAGACGAATAGGCTCCGGTTTGGAGCTTGGTCATATCCTTCAATACTACTTAGCAACGGCTCACTGGGTGGAAAACCATCTAATCGTTCATTCAGGCCCCCTCCATACGTATCCGGGTATTTATGAATCCGCAACTATTTATTTCCGGATTCAAACATTTCCACGTCCACACGTATCGATTTTGAAATCGAATATTCCCGTCCACGACCCCGTCCACACGTATCCGAATTCACTCTTGTACCCTGGGCTCCTCTAGGAATATTGGCAACAGAGCATGCGTCGTAAAGACAGGTAAGAGCAGAGTTAAGAGCAAGAGAGAAAATCTGGGAAAGAGGTTGCCATCTTGAATACAGTATTCATGGTAAAGAAGTGGGCTGGATTTGTTACGTCACCGAAAAAAAAAATATATATATCCGGATTTAGCATCCACACGATTGCGGATTCATAGCGTTACTATTCAAAAATTTCCATTCTGGAGAGCGTAATAGCGGAGCTCCACAATCGCGCGTGGGCGAAGCCCCAGTAGCTAAGTAAATCTACCCATCCCAGAAAATTAGTTTATCACGTGACCGTACACCAAGCGAACGACCGTCCGACTACGCTGGCTGTGCCTGCCAAATCTCACATACCCCTTACAAACTGCCTCTCAGCACTATTTTCACCAATTAATTGGCAAAAACGAAACCCTTTTAAAGACAACACGCATTATACTATTATGCCGATGAAGAAGGCGCAGAGAAGTTATGTGAGATTGAGGCTAAGGCTAAGTTAGAGGATGAGGAAGTGATTAGATTCAGAAAGCATCCAATTTATAATTTGTACGCTGGATCAAAATGTGGAAAATTTATCCATGTCGGAAGAAAAGTGATAAATAGTGGTCGATATAATAGGACAGGATATCTTATGTGCACGGTTAGAACTAAGACGAGGGATCGAAAGGATTATTTAGTTCATAGGTTCATATGGGAATGTAATGTAGCAATTGGGGCTCATGCCTCAGTCGCCCTCATGGGGAAAAATAAAAATATAAGTAATCGAGCAGAGATGATCGCTAAGCCATCTAGGACGAGATCCATCGTCAAGCCAAAGACTGTAGTACCAGTCAAGTTTAATCCGAAGTCATTGACCGAATTAGCATCTAATAAATTAGAGCAAATGATAAATACCAAGACTACTAAACTTAAATCATTAGTACAACAAGCGGCTGAAAAAAATAGAACTATCAATCAAACAATCAACCAAATTACCAAAACGAAGTAGATCAAAATTAACACCAACATTGAAACAATTGGCGGCTCAAGCTCTGGTAAAAGACAAGATTAATTATTGGGAAAACAAGCCAAATGAAAATGCCTCTATTATTACGTTAGATAAAAAGCCATAACATTTCAGAATCTGTTTGAAAACAGGTTAAATCAAATGCCAGGTAAACGAGAAAATGTTCAGTTAATGATTAATGCTGATGTGGAAAATATAATAGGCAATAAGCGAGTGATTACACAGAAGAATTATGGGCCATTTAAAATGGAGATGCCCAAGATGAGCAAAGAGGATACTTACAAGTTTATGGCTTACACCCTATTACAGCACAACTTTAACATTTTATCAACACAGACTATAGCTAATATCGGAGCTAAAATCATTCATAAGCCTCTACATTTTAAACACGTGAAAGCCGGGGCATTAAAGCTTGATTCATATTTCTTAGATAAGCAGTTTCCTATTAAGCAAAGAGGAGATAATACGTGCATGATTGATTTCATATGGCACCACTGTCACAATAAAATGGCGTTTAGGTCTTATACATATCAGAAGTTGAAAGATGAGTTGTCAGAATTTGCTTTATCATTTCCATTAATGAGTACACAAGAAGTAATATATTGGGCGCGCAAATGTCATCCTAATGTTTCTATCCATGCTTATGACTCAACTGGTCGCAGAATTATAAAACACGTTGGTCAACCACGTGATATGTCATTAGCCTACTTCATCAAAGACGATCATTGTTATCCAATTACTGATGAGTGGCTCAAGATAATATCAACCAAAGCAAACCAGGAGGGAACTGACAACTTATGGAAGTATATGGGTGATATCAAATGGAGTTGGCGACTTGAGCAATTTGTAGTATTGAATAATATGGAAGAGGAGGAAGCGCTAGATGTCAGTAATAAAGTGATAGCATTGCCTGAGGAAGAGAAAATCGAGCCTGTTATAGATCGATACATTTATTGGACCAACTACTTTGTTGAATATCTGCATTTCAATAATAATGGTAGGTTAGACGGCTTCCTTGATCACAAAAATAATTTGTATATCCTAAATGATGAGTATTAGACTAGACCCTACGGTGGCTCATAAGGGACACATCGATTTTTCCGTCGCAACTTACTCACTTGCGATCGCAACTTACTAAGTTGTGATGGCAACTTACTAACTTGCGATCGCCGCTTACTAACTTGCGATCGCAACTTTACTAACTCGCGATCGCAACTTAATAACTTGCGATCGCAACTTACTAAATTGCGATCGCAACATACTAACTTGCGATATCGCAACTTACTTGCTATCTGCGGTCCATGTGCGGTGAGCGCCTTTTGCGATCGCAACTTACTAACTTGCGAGCGCAACTTACTAACTTGCAATCGCATCTTACTAACTTGCGATCGCAACTTACTAACTTGCGATATCGCAACTTAATACTTGCTATCTGCGGTCCATGTGCGGTGAGCGCCTTTTGCGCAGGCGTAACTGTTTGTAAAAAAATGGCGGACGACGATGTGGAGGAGGAAAGTTCTTGTACGCTTGTTGTTTTTTGAGCTTATTGGTTCTCAGGCTATTAAGTATTTGTTTTTCGACTATCGTTGGGATCATGAACATAGACCTGGATTAGAAGCATTATTATGTATTCAAGCTTATCGTTAATTGGAAGGTGATTTATCTTCAAAGTATAAGGAACATTTTGTTGAAAAATTAATCGTACACACTTCTTGTTTATGTTTTGAATGGCTTAAATAGGAATGATGCTAATTTTACCATGATAGTACCCATTTAAATTTCTTAAGCTTTTGTCTCTTTTTGTCTCTGATGTAACAACAGCATTGAAAGACTCTTATGGTTATACTCTTGAAACTATCGTCCCTTCACATCTTCTTCTTTGGGAGCAATTAACTAACTTGATAGAATAATTAACTTCATTCATCTTGTCATCTTCTTAAACTTTGGCATTTAGCACCTTAGACCCTCTGGAAGTTGAGTACCCTGCATATCCAAGGGATTGAAAGTTTGACATGTGAATTTTTGGGAGAACTCGAAAAGGCTGTGGAAAACTTGTCTGTGGGCTCATGCTCCCACAGCATTTCTCTTTATTTGTTACAGCTTGATGGAAACACATGTCTTCTATTTCTTAAATAAGTGGCCACTGGGCAAGTGCTAAATTGTTTTACATTATGTACTATAAAGCTCAATTAAATATGCTGATTAAAGGGTTGTGTTGCTTAATTCTTTAGATGGCCTGTTCTGCAATTGATTGTACCCCAGAGGATGTATTGGAAGAAATGGGTTTGTTAAGAAAGGGGGACATATATGCTTTGAAAGCCTTGTGTTCTAAAAAAAAACAGGGCCCAGGTGCAAGTCCAAGTTCAAGTTCATCTGAAGATACAAGTTCAACAACAAAAGCTCCCAAAACCAGACGAATTGCATTGGGACTGATGCTATTCAACAAGAGTAAGATTACGTTTGTCTCAGTAGGATATGCTAGAGGAGGTGGCAGCCGCACTTTAGATGTGCCTATCAATGCAACAAAACAAGAGTTGATTGAGATGGGTAAAGATGTCTTTTTTGCAGAAGGTGTTGCACCCATAGGAAAAGCTTCTGATTTTACTTTTGGTCTGGCTAATTTTAAAGGAGAAGCTGTAAATAAACTTAGGGACAGTGATGGGCGTGAATAACCCTTCACCATTCAAGGATATTTTGAAACTTCCAAGTTGACAAGAGTTCAGCTATATCTTACATGCCAGCCCTGTGAAGATTCTGATGATGAAGTGCTCATGACCGATGTGTTTGGACCTTCAACGACCAACAGTCAGTCATCCAGAACTCCTCAAAACAAAGGCAAGGCCTGGCGTAATCAATTGCATGCCCAACTTGAGAATGAAAGAAAATTGGGCGGAACCTCAAAAAGGAACAGGATGAAGAGTTCCAAAAATGCCTTGAACTGGATAGAAAAAAGCAAGCAGCTTTGGAGGGAGAAATTGAAGAACTCTCCAAATTGGAGAAATTGCGGTCCATAAAGGCTTCAAGAGTTCCTGCTGAACCAGAATGTGGCTCTCCCCGTGTGCTAATGGTGGCACAACATCCTTTCCAGAGAAGAGTAACGAGATTCTTTTCAGCAGCGGAAAAGATGGTGGCTGTCTACGATTGGTCAGGCTCCTTAGATCTACACCCAGAACATTTCAGTTTACAAGTCCACCCTGCAACTACTATATCACCTGAGGAGGGCATATTTGGCTATGAGGGTGTGGTCATGTACATGAAGGCTTTGGATGAACCACTCCTCATGGGCACAGGCTCCCCAGAGATCAGTTCTCATAGGTTTTGGTACTTGTACTAGTCATGATGAAATTGCCACTCATGATGAAGATTGTGAAAGTCTGTCACTGCTGGCCATTGTTCCAGTTACTGAAACTTTGCCCCTGCAACTTAAGGAACTGGATGAAGAAAGGTATCTGTATTACACGTTATATTATTACAGCCAGTGAAGTGTTTACTGAAGAAATTTGAAAGATTTCAGAAATAAGAGACCTCAAGTTTTGGATCCTTATTAAAGGTGTGTTATATTATAATTGTAGATCTGCACTGCGGCAGCAACCTGCAGATCAGCCACAAAGTAAGTATAAGTTATTAGTCATACAAATATCCAAATTGGGCCTGTAGAAGGGTTCCATGATCAAAATAGCCTGAATATATTGACACTAATGAATGCAAAAATTTATGAGTGAGTTCTGGCTAACAATCGACACCCCAATTTCCCTATTCCTTCCCAAATAAATTTGTACCCCATTTCAATATCATTTCAAAAGTTAGTGTAAATGATCTAATAAATGCCCGAAGTGTCTTCAGTTTCGGGGGTTGTGGGGAGGGGGAGGCGTTCAATAGATATGAGCCGTTTATTTCACTTAAACTGTAACAATGTCAACAAAACAAACAAGCTAGACTCATAGTTTGCTCACGGAGTAAGATGGAAAACAAATTCTGTGAGTAAAAGACTTATGTAATCTGCCCTACTGCAAAGCCTAAAGAAGTTCATAGTTCAATACCGATGTCTCCGTGGTCCTCGGGGTCAACCGTATTGGCATCGTTGGCCTCTTCGATGTCCCAGTCAGTTATGTCCTGGAAAGGGTTTGGGAGGTTGGGCTCATCCAATACGGAGAGTTGTGCTTTTAGCTGCTATCTGTACTTTAAACTTGTTGATCATGAAGACGCAATTCGCAAGCCATTCAGCGCTAACCAAGCAAGCAAGAAAAAGATAAATTGGTGATTTTACTCTATGGAACTTTTCCTTGGTTTTGGAGGCGATTCTTTGGGGGAGGGCGGCGTCTATTAGACACAGGGTGTTTATTAGAGGGGAGCGTCTAATATAAACTTCACACGAAAAAGAAAACCAACCAAACTTTCATGGGTCCAAAATGTATTTTCAAGACAGTTTTTGCTGTTATTAACGAGTGATAATGTAGCTCGAGGGACTTGAGGCAGTTAGTTGGGAAAAAGAAGAATCACTGAATCGTAAACGTTTTTGTGGTAATTCCGCTGGCCAGCGTATTTTGCGGGAGGGAGGGACCATTGTAAACAAAATGGCTGCCAAAGCGATAGACTGACCTTTCGCATTTGTAGGCGAACTGGTGCCACGCTCAATTTTTTCTTTTTCTTTGCATAAGTTTATTGAAATCTCCATACTGTTTTAATTTTCCAATAATCGCAAACCATCCGTTAGTAGCTCGAGAAAAAAAAAAGGTTTCCAAACAGGATTTGAACCCGGGACCTTGGAATCCGCCACCTTTAGACTAGCTGGCTGAAGCTTACCTCTTCGCCCAACCCAGATTCTCTCTTTCTTTTGCCTCTCTTTAAAATTTATAGTGGTCATTGTCTCAGTGAAAATGCGTACTCGGAAGAGACGATCCCTTACATTTGCCATATTTCATTGTCTCGCAGAGGTGGATGTTGTGTGCTGTGTTCACCGCTCCCGTTTGCAAGATGATATGATGTCACTGTTTAAGAACGAAGATTCGTTGGATCGCATTTCTTCTTTCAGAATTATCTATGAAAGAGGAAAGCTGGAAGAACGTGTAAGGTCGGGTGTAACAAGACATGTCATTGCCACGTTCTCGCAACAGTTGTTTGCAGCTACAATGGTCGGTGAC